CATTTTCGAACACTCTTGGGAATTTTCACCTCCTGAATAAACAAATTAGATTCACATTTGTATCAGAAAAAATACTTCTATATCGAAAATTAGAGCATTTTTCTTACACCAAATATTGATGATTTTAATGTAATTCTAAATCGTAGAAATAGAAACTTAATAATAATATAAATTCAAATACATTTTAAAAACTATTCGTAAAATTCAATTCAGTTCGTTAGAACGCGTTTAGATCTACTTTTCTGCAAATAATAATAGTGTGGAAATGTGGAATCCCCTTGATCATTTGCTGGAATGCTTATAAGGAAAACTAGCTCCTCCAAAAAGTCGTTATCCGTTGTAATGCTATATGGAAGTGGGAGCATAATGCAACCCTATGCATCAATAAACCATATATTATTATCTTAAATTAAAAATATATTCATGTCTAATAGTTAGTACTTCGATTCTATATAAATGTCTTGTTAATATTTCATACTTTGCTTTTGTTAGCCACCAATGCCAGGATCAAGACCGACAATGGGAGGTATGGGCGGCAGTAATAAAATCACTGGAGGAGATGGTGGTAGTGCCATGAATATACTGATGCCAATGTATACAATTGGAATACTTCTTTTTTTTGTGTACACTATGATGAAGGTATAAAATCATATTATTAAATTTACATGTTGTTTGTAAACTAATGTCAGGTTGTACAATAGTTTTGTTAAATTTCATGGTTTATTTAAATTTAATAGATGTAGGTACCATGAATATATAATATATATACAGTGAAAACTCTTTATAACGAAACTCGTTACAACTAAAAACTCTATATTACGTAAATAACATTAAGTTAACTTATTAAAATGGTTGGTTTAATTTAAAACCTATTAATTACTCTCTATTACGAAAACTCTCAATAACTAAAGAAATCACATGGTCCCTTCAGATTCGTTATAGAGAGTTTTCACTGTATGTATTTTTAAGAATTCGTTTAAAAACTAATAGACGTTAATGCATGCCAGCATTTATTTTTCAATTATTTATATCATTCGTAACAGTTGCTGTCAAAAAAAGACGACGTTGAAGATACTATTGATGATAAATATTCTTCACATTATCCTTGTGGCAGAGATAGTAAATCAAAGCTACAGCCGCAGAATCTTCCAACAAAATTAGGTGAAACACTAACAAAATATATTTTAAATCAATATTATTCCTTTAATTTTTAAGTTTAAAAATAAAGTTACATATAACTTTTATTCTGTTTATCGCTATATATAGGATTCGTTGAAAAGGATACGAGTAAGTAGAATATATTTATTAATTATTAAATTCTATTCTTGCTATAATATTTACAATGCATAAAAAAAGAAATATTAATCTGTATTTTGTACTAAGATTAAGTAATAATAATTAATTAATAACATAATTTTTTTTACAACATATTAAATTAGATTATAGGTCATAGGTTTACTGGATACATTCATTGTTAATACCTATAGGAATATTGCAATGAATCCTTGATTATAGTTTATGTTTTGCGTAGGGGATTTAGAAATAGATGCGCTCCGTCGCAAGCTAGAAGAAACAGAGGCTGCGATGGAACGCATTGTTAAGCAAATGATATTGGCGTCTGAGCGCAATGGGATGGATGGGAATAAGGTTTGAAAGATTTACAAACATTTCGATGCGCATGTGTTCAGTAATATTATTGGCAATTTTGTTTTCTTACTACTACACTAATTTCACCTCATCTGTATATATAATTTATGGAGTTACCCTCCTACATGTATTGGTTGTAGAATAATTATTACGATTATTTTTTGCTAGTTGTACCCTAATAGATGAACATTAAATATATAAATCGGAAGTTGGTTAAAATATATATTTTTACTTTATATATTTATAGGAATTTAATTAAATAATTGAAATAAAAATTATTGATCGTTTAAATGTTACGCCCCACAATCGTTAATTTCTATGAATTAAATAAGTTGGTAATAACACATGGCAAAAGAATAAATATAATTAAATTAATTAGTGTGATATGTTATAAGTATAGAATTATTTGAATTTTAAAAAGAATAAACAAAATATTTATTTTTTTTTACCCTTAGTCGTGAACGCGTTTTCGTCTTTATTGGAAGACGTGAATCGAGAAATATTATCGTCTATAATTGAAAAAGAAAACGTTCCCACAATAATTGAAAACGAGGTACCCTTAGGATAAAGAACTTAAGTTGCGCTAATATTAATATACTAATACTATATGCTTAAACGTTGCTTTTTAACATCCTAAATAATATATAAAGTGTTCTTCAAATTCTTCAATTATTTTAATTTAATTTTTAACCTGTGTTATTAATTTAATATCGATTCATTAGTTTAGTTATATTTATTATTTCTTGTGTATTTACGCTCATTTAAAATTTTCTTTGCTTTTTTATGTAATCATTATTAATATTAAAAGCTTTTTCCCTAATACTTAATCAAAGATTTCGAATATACATTTAATTAAGACTTAAATTGTGTATTTTAGGATTTGAAAAACGAAAATATTGATGAGGGGCAATGTCCAACACAAACGATATTCAATGACATCGTAAATGATAAAATTACCACTAAAAAGTCTACTCCATCAGAGGAATCGAACAGTATTAAATCTTTAAACACTTCTGAACCGCACGATGAAAACATTACAGATTCGGAAATTTCCGTAAAAAAAATTATTCAAGTCGTCAATATGGAAACATCTGAAAGTGTTGGTGGTGGTCATTATTGGACTCCGACTGAAAAAGAGAAAATACCTTCTAAATGTAAAACAACATCTACAGAAGAACCTATTTCTCTACTCATTCCTGGTACGATTCCTAAGAACTCTCAAGTTTTAATAAGCGATGGTCCACACAATACTCCCTTAGAAACTGAGGATCACGAAGCAGTAATTTCAAGCAAAGTCACATTGTCATTAATACCTGTGAGTAACAAAATGATTTCTTATATTGTATTAAAATTTACAATTGAGTAATAAGTAATTTCAATGCGTACTGCAGGGTACAAGTTAATTTACTTTCTCGATTTAATGGCAAGTGTTTATCGAATTAGTGCTATTGAGTATGAGGAATTTTTAATTGTAAAATAATAAATGTTATATAATAAAAAAAATTGTAGACATTAGTTATCGATAAAATTTTTGGTAGAATGTTGAAACTAAGCTATAGGTATTGAATTATGATTCATGAGTCCATAATATAGGGCCGAAGACTTCAATAATAATCCTAACTAAAAATAAATAATAATATTATTATGTACAGGTATTTTAAGTTAAAACTTATATTCCCTGTTAAAATAACTAATAATTAATATATAATTATTTTGGAAAATTATCGTGTTGAAACCTAAAGACAGTTTATTTTTAATACTATTTCAATGTACTTACTATTCATAGCGAATGGTAGAATGGTCAATGGTGAATGGTGAATGGTTTAAGATAATAATTTTGTTTTGATTTAATTTTTAGGACGATCGAGTAGAGGAATACCTAACTAGTGATGAAGCGGAAGATATTACTTCAACTCTATCAAATATTAATTAATATGGCAAAAAATGAAACAAATGTATGGTTTTCCTATATTTAATAATTATATGACAAGTAAATAATACATTCAATGTACATGCACGATTTTAAAATAGGTAATGACTGGGGATTTGACGAAGAGTAATAAATATGGGAGTATTGGGAGTGGGAATTTTATTATGAAAGTTTTTAATTGCACATTTGTAATGTACTTAATTATTTTGTGGTAGATTTTAATATTATATCTATGAATGAGCCATTGTAATGAACTTTTTAATCTATGTAAACAAATATGTGATCAGTATTATTTTATGTATCTACCTATAGTAACTATAGTATAGTTTGTCAATTTATAAGTACATTTTCTGTTACTTTTGAAGTACTCTAGACTGATAATGTTGCCAAATGATTAGCAAACATTTCTTAAATTTCTTGTACTTTACCTGTAATAAATATCTTGTCAAATCAAAAAATGTATGGTTTTTAAAAATCATGTCTTTTTTTATTTATTTTAATTTTTTTTGTCTGGCGTCAATTTAGAACCAGTACAAATTGCTTCAACTTAACTATCTATAGTTGGTATTGTAGAAAAATAAATTACTTATAGCAATATAAATATATGATAAAACATTCTTATAGGTTGAAAGACGGTCTCCTCAGAATTTTTTCGTATGCAACGATTTTCAATTCAAATAAAACACCACATTTTAGCGCAGAGTGACTTCCTCAGGTTTGTCACATGTTTTCCTATTTAACGTAAATTATATTACTGTATACAGGTTTGATTTTCCAGAACTTTTCTGTACATTATTTTATTTTTAAAAAGTAAACGTCTTACCTAGTTTATTTTGTTTAGGATTAAGTTACGATATAAATAATAATAATAATTCACTCTATTTACGTATGTCACGACTCACAAGGTTGTATATTGAACCAATTCATAGTAATAAATAGTTTAAGTAGGCAGTAGCTATTATAATTTACTTTAAATTATACGATCATTTCAGTTTATTCCAGTATTGCACAATGCACATACTTAAATTATAGTATAGAAAAAACATAAAAGTTACAAATTGTATGTCTATAGTTCTATACGTTACTTTTAAAATTTTCCAGCCTCTCAAAAGCCATATCACCTCCATCACATGCACTTATTGTAAAACAACATTTACAGATTGTATATATTTAAATAAACGTTAAAAAAAAAAAATACTTTTAAATTGTTTGAACTATTAGATACAATAGATACAATTATTTACAGATGTACTTATTGTACTTATATAAAATTAAAAATATTACATTTAAAAGTTGTTTATACAAAACTATTACATACTATWGGTACCTATAAACTTAATGAATAACAATAACAATACATGATGGAATGGAGTATAAGTTAAGAATTAGGACACTAAAAGATTATATGTATAATTGACATCATATTACATCATCAATACTCAGGCAGTAATTTTTATTGATTACTGTTTGGGTACCATTACGTGTAGAAATATAAACATAATGGAATAGGAATAAAAAATAATGTGGTCATCTTATCGATATACCTTTCTTTGAAATTTAAACTACTATCCAGTAATAGTATACTTGGTAAAAATACTTATTATTAACTTTCACTATACATCATTATAATCTGTTAATTATTGAAGATAGTTCCTTCATTCTTGTTAGAATTGTAACCGCAGGTATGGTATAGACTTTAAATATATATTTGCAATTACAATAAGTTAAAAATAATAGAATACTTCCAATTTGGAAATGTAGATACCAACCTTACCTATATTAAATATGAACTTGGTTAACACATATATAAGTAGGTACCTTATACCTAATCTATTAAGCAGCTACCCGCGTAAGGATTTTTGTCCGTTGTCACATTATTATTTTAAAAAGCCGTTGAAAATTATTGTGTATAACACTGTAGTTTTCGCGAAATCACGGTAGCGAAAAAAAGAAAAGAAAGGAAAGCGCCTAACATAATAACACGATAACTGGACAACGTTTATAACGATCGGAGAAGAGGTGGAAAGTTGTTGTCACGGGAGACCGCACGATAATGAGCAAGAAAGTGTTTCAGATTCAGAGTTCAGACTTCAGTGCGTATTGTATTGCCGCGGCAGTGTGTTCACACATGTGTGAACAGTAGTTTCAGTATTCGAAGGGCAGGCTGGCAGGTGCAGTAGTGTGCAGCTGTACCTACCTTGAAAATAAGCAGTCATCTCTGACTGGAAATCTAAACTGAAGTTTTTTAAGAATAGTGCATGGCTCCCCACTCAAAAATAAAATAAAGTAAGTGGTCCAAATTTTATTTTAAATTAATAGTTTCGTTGTAGTTACTGTTTTTCAAAAACTTTATCAAAGAATTGAAGGAAAAATTGCTATACAGGGTTAAGAACTCATGATTATCAGTAAAAATTTTACAAGTAAACACTTATTTGTATTGAATTGCAGTAGGTAGAAAAATAGGTGATAGGTATGTAAGTATGTTATTGTTGTGATTATATTTTATAGTATTATAGTAAGCCCGAATCACACGTTTCTGACTGTTTCAGCGTCTCGTGATTATTGAACATTAGTAGCTGAATATTCTATACATAAAATTTACCTATAATGTCAACTGTTATACATCATCAATGTAATATTCATATAGGTATTAAATGTTAAAGAGTACGCTGGGCAGAGGTAAAATATCTGCTTCTCGTGCTGCAAGAGTCAGGAATATTGATTTCACAGAATCTGCACAGCTGTAACCCCGGTGTACTGGTATTATCATAAAATCGATAGTGGTTGTAACTCATGGTTATGGCAATACGGGTAAACAGGACTGCCGTTGAACTCATGAATGCAATACAGTATAGTGTATAATTGTTGATTTTTGTAGTTAAAAACATTGTTTTTTGAAAAATAATTCCACTTTAAAATAACCATTTATTAATATTGTAATATTTAAAATAAAACAGTATACCACTAATATTATTGTAATTATATGCATGAAAATATTCAATCATGAAGAGGATGCTAAAATTATATAAAACGTATTTTAATATTTTTAAATTATGGTATACAATGACAATAGAGTGAATAAATCACATTACCTTCCTTTTTTATCAAATATAGTTACTCAAAATGTTTAGATCAAGTATCTACAATCTATTTTTATTTCCAACTAATATGGCTTTATAATTATATAATTATTTAAAAAAAATAGTATGCGACGTTTATTTTACAATTAAACGCAAGTATTGATTTGCTCATATTATAATTCACTATTTCGTATTTTTATATGTATATGTTTCCTCCAATTTCGCATAGTAAAATGACCCGTATTTACTAAATATTATGTATAGATACAAAATATAAAAATATGTTAATATTAAACGTGTTAGTGAGTCAATTAAATATTTTAAATATTTGTATTTATTAATATTAGCCATTAGGTAAGAATATTGGTGATGATATTAATGAGTATTGGCGAAACGCCAAAAATTGACAAAAATCGTTTTTCAGCGATTTAAGAAATTTCTTGATAAATTTATGAACTTTAAGACAATTTTACCCGCATAATTCTTTAAAGAATTGACAAAGTGATTTTGAGATTCCTACTTTATACTCATATAATTGTTTTGATATGTAGGTACTTGTTCAATTTATAAATTAATACTATTGTAAATTAAGTTTAGTTCAGTTTAGAATTAGATTTCTAAGATTTAATATTGCTTTCAAATGTATAATAATAATTGTGAATCACAAAACTCCATTCTCCGTAGTTAATATTGTATACATTTTTAAAATGTTATCATGAAATATATATTTCATTGTAATAAGTTGATTTTTTTCTAGTTTTATATCATTTTTTAGCATTCAACTCATTGTGATTTTATAGTGGTAAACATTTAGTATCTCTTAATAAAAATATTAAATTATTAAGTTTTAATAAAAAAAATTTTTAAAAACATGGGTTAATTTGTATGAGTTAAAGTCAAACAATGAACAATAAACAAGTTTGGAAATTTATAATAATAGAAACATAGAATTATTGAAACATCGGTTATAATAACAACGGTAATTTGGTGCAAATGTACCATACAGAATATTATATTTATCAATAGGTATCTTGTACTAGTTTTACAGGTTTCAATCTTGTGAATACTGCATCATTGCTGGAAGGCGTTACTTTTTCTTACTAGTTCCTACGTAAATTTTAAGGAAAGTGAAATCTCAAAAATGATATATTTATAGGAATGTGTGGCTTTCATTTATTTTAAATCAATTCGTGTTTTACCATTATTATTTAATAAAATTACTATTTATAATCCACATATTATATTACAGGAAATTATTTAACTTTTTACATTTTTGATTCGAATCCGAGCTTAAGTATTCTTATTTCTTAATGTATACACTATACACCATAGTCTTATAATTTTTATTTTTAAATTTATATTTGGTAAAATTGTTGTTTAAATGTATTGTAGAACAAGTTTTTTTTTTTTTTATTAAGGAAAAATCCTCGGTAACGTGACCATTGGCTATTGTTTTTACACGATAAACAAAGTTTTAATATTGTCCTACTGAAATATAAAAATAGGTTGAGCGTAAATTTTTACATCTATTTAAACATAACATTATGTAGCATTTGAAATTCAAACGTATAACAAAAAAGTTATCCTCGAACGATTTTTATTATTTTATTATTATTAAAAAAATATTAACCATAGAAACTTATAACGTACAACTATTACTTCTTATTGATTAATGATTGTACTATACTACTATATGGTTATTATTGTACATCATAAATAGATATTCATATATAGATATGTAGATAATCATATCATAAATTATCGTCAATATTTAATTTATACATAAATATGAGCCTGTTTTTTCTAATTCCGGATAAAGTCCGAAATTACCGAACGAATTTAAGCGATTTTTTTAAATGTAAATAGGACACTACTCTAGCAGATTAGAGTTTGGTAGACCCAAATTCTGTTCCCGGAATATTGAGCGATAACTAGACCGATAAATTCAAAATTGTTGAATGCTTTAATATTTCTTATAAAATATAAGTTTCCTAATTAATTGATTTCGAGTGAAATGTTAGTTATGTTATGCATTTATAAATTAATATTTTTTATCATTGATTAATCGACTACAATATCTCCATTTTTTTTTTTTTTTTGATTTCATACTAGTTTAAACATATTTTAACATATTATTATTTCTTATATAGGTTTTTAATGTAATTTTTATACTAAATAAAATATTAACGTCCATAACAAGATATAAGTATCACAGTAAGTATTGGATACTTAACTTTAATCACTTAAAATTAAAATGCATATCGATGAAAAAAAAAATGCGAGTGTTAGTATCAAAATAATGAAATTGAAAGTTTTAATCTCCTATTGTATATAATATATAATATAATATATGTATATAATATATATACATTATACATATTACATATAATAAAGTGTTTTCGTGAAAATTCAATGTTACGTTTATTTTGCGTTCCACTTTACTGTTCTACATTTTCTGATTCGATGCTTACTCTCATTTTGTTCTCCAACCTGCAGTCTAGTCACCGATATACAATTTTAACAATGAATCGTTTTTGATCTATTAACGGAAATTATTATATTTTAGACCAAAGTGAAAAACCTATAACTAATATATTTTGTATCTGATGAAATGAGTAGCACTGTACTCTGTACACAATACACACTACCTAAAAATTATTCATATATATGTTCACAGTAGGCACATACGTTATTACGTTACATGCACAGTAGGTAACCACACAAGTATAGGTCATCTAAGAATATTTTGCTACTAAACAAGCATTGGGCTTAGTTAAAAAGATGTCTTAATCATAATTCTTTATTACTTACAATTATGTACCATATAGGTAGGTATAGGTATGTATAGGTATGTATAATTATTAATTATTTAAATTAAACAAGGTACCTACCTACCTACCTAACCTACCTACATAAAATATTCTTAAAATAATATGTTATTGGAGTTATTACCGTCAATCAGTATATATGTTCAAACTTCAAATAATACAAAAAATAGAAAATRATTATGTGTCGAACTTCTAGAAACTTAGCAATATTATTTATTTATAATTCATCAGTAGATTCCTTATAAAGACAAGTATGAAATGATGAAAACAATTTCAATGGTATTTTGCATTTACGTAATAGACCTTCAATATGAAAACAAATCACGATTTTATTCATATAATTTACATTGGATGTTTAGCTTAGTAAATTATCTATACCTACATGGCTAGATTATTTTTACATTTATCTTAGAAGTATTTTCCTTTGAACATCTTAAATTTATTGAATAAAGTGTTGGTTTTTATTTCACTTACAAACAATGTTAATTTCTATTTTGCTGATCGTCTTGGTATGAATATTATGAATACAAGGCATTGATTCTATGATATTGTCATATTGAAATACCTACTACGCGAATCAACAAATATAAACGATATAACATATTATCCAATCGCCTAATAATAGTAGGTAAAACAATAAAAATCTATACAGAATCTTGAAATTTAGTACTCAGCTCACTTTGATATTCTCCACTTTGCAGGATAATTATTTATTAACAAATAATAATATTTTAAATTTAAGTTAATAGTGTTAAATGATCTCATTAAACAAAACTATTCCGAAATAATAGCTAATTTTATTAAAATTTAACGTTAATAGCTTCCGTAAAATTAATTTACGATTAAACATTTATTGAATAAGATAATGAATGAAAAAGTAGGTAATCTATAATAAGGCTATAACGCCTATCACTATCCTCTTTAGATATTTATCTAAAATTTGATTTTAGTATCAAAATAATCTAAAAACTCTATGAAAAATATAATAGCATCATTCTTTGTATGATTTTATTTATTGCTATGACCGCTATAGATGGGCATATTGCTATATTGATGAAGACTAAATGGAAGTGAAGGTATTCGGCATAATATGAGAACAGAATATTGTAAAACCAATATATTCATTGGGTCACTTAAAATGTTAAGTAAATAATAAGTGATCTGACTCTTTAAGTTTTTTTAGTAATAKATATGCGCTTTTATCGTAACATTGTGTTATAGACCTCGCATAAATAATTTATATTTTAACCTTATTGTTATTATATATAAAAGTTATAGGTATAGGTAATAATTTGTTATTATTATTATTATTTCCATTTTAAAATATTTATATATTTGTTGGAAGAAGAAGAATTTAAAAACGAATTAGTTTAATATAATTTGTGTTGCCTACTACATAGATTTATATTCGTAGCTCTTATAATTAATTTAAAAACATTTTATGAATGAACATAATATTTATATATTAAAATGTTATTTACGTGTATATAGTAAAAGAACAATAGATAAAATCTAATAATATGATTTAATCACACTACAAAAATAACTAATAAGTTGGTAAATAATGTCGAGAAATGTTGATTGATCTTACGTAAAACATCACTTTCTTGTTGCATATGGCATATATGCATCCTGATAATCAATGATAATACCTACATATTAAGAAATTCATACTTTGCTATAAAGTGATTATAGAAAATAAAATTCCCACTTTCATTAGATTTTTTTAGAAAACAAACGCTCATGTTATGTAACAATAATTAATAATTACTTATACGAAATTATTATTTTATAATGTATTATTATAATRTGATATTAGATATTTAATAGAAACATTTATTTGTACTTTATCTAAAATACTATAAAAAAAAGCATAAAAGTTTAAATAACGCAAAAGATTCATCATAATATTATTTGTTTAAAATAAAAATTATGCATGATGTATGTAATTCTAAGTTTATCAAAAACATTTATTTTAGCAAAAGAATATAATTGCATGATATAGTTTATCGTTATGATTTTTAATTTTATAATTTGAATAAAATTTGATCCACAAGTATCTAATATTTAACCAATAATTTTTATTTATAAGTATTTTAACTTTAAAATATTGAAAATTCAAATAAATAGTTGTAAAGTGGCAGGGCTGCGGGGTATGTTTAGTAACCCAACATAATTATTAATTACGCTGCACCTATATATAGATGGTATACTACTTCTATACTTCACTCATCAAACTAGTCAAAACTTTAAAAGATCATCAAAATTTTATGATAACTTCGTTATTTATACACCAAAATATTTTTTATAATATAATACCATATATATATAGATTGTAATTTAAAAAAAAAGTAAAAACCATGATAAAATATTATTATTTTTTCCAATAATATAGTGTTCCTTACCTAGCGATAAAAAAAAAATTATGTATTGTGTTAAATAATAATTTATTATTGTTTAATTATATACAATATAGTCAGTATAGAGTCTTGATACTTTAAAAAATAATAATTAATATTCATGTTTTTTTTTTGAATTTTATTCCAGGTGAGAAAAAGTACTATTCGAATGAAGAAAAATTTAATATTTTAATCGGTCTTATAATTACAAGTAATCATGACAGAAAATAAAAATGAGTCAATTCATCCACCTCTCAAGAGATATAGGTAAGTAAAAATGACTAGGATGTCATCCATTTATCCATTAATACCAAGCGATTAATTTAAGTGTTTTCACCCATTATTTCGAAAACTTTTCACTTTTTTGAAAATATTTATTATATTTAATTCAATTTAGGTAATTTCTGAACAAACATTTTCTTCTATTTTATTGCTATTATTTTGAAGTTTTTTTCTTTTTTGAATGACACGACACTATGTCACTCATACTTTTTTATTTTATATTCCGAAACAAAATATTATTTGGAGTGTTTCAATGTACGAAATTAAATTTAGAAGAAGTAGCTCATTATTTATAACTTATAACTTATAAAAATATAAATGTATTAAATTATCAACTTATAAAACTTAGATTAGTGGAGTAATGGATAACAATTTTAGGGTTTAATCACTCTACTTCGTTTATATAATCTTAAAATGTTTATAATTAATGTATTACTTGACAAAAATTTGATCTTTGTAAATTAAAACACTCCGAATAATATTCTACTGAAAAATAGTAAATAATTTAATTATTTTTTTGATATGATAACAAATTATGTAAAAAGATGTTTTCAAAAAGTTGAAGCTTTTTGAAATGAGGAGTATAGGTAGACATGAGACACATTAAATGGATCATCTGCTAGCACTCTGTTTAATATTATCATATATTAATAAGTCTTTATTGCTTGTTTATTTTTAGGTCAAATTCAATGGGAAATTCAGTTGCTTATGCTGGCTTATTACTCATAGAGTTAATTCTTTTGGTTTTAAAATTCATTTATACTACCGTTGAGTCCATTATACGAACATTTTTACCTCCATTGGAAAAATCACTAAAAGACGAAATTATATTAGTAAGTTATTAATAAATAGTATAATATTGTTAAGTACATGTTATTCTTATATAGAACATATACATATAAGAACATAGGTACGTTCTAATTAATGTTATGATTGCTTTTCAATACTTTATATTTAGTAAATAGGTATAGGTATCAGGAGTATTGAGGGTAATTGTAAAATTAAAGATAAATATAAAACCAGAATGATGATTGTGAAGTTTAACTATACATCAGTTACATACTTACATCCTTAGTGTTTTTTAGAAATCAAGTTTCAGTGTTTCGAAAGATTTAATTTTATTGAAGACGTCTATATTTCATAAACTTTAGCATATAAATTATGGCCATACAAACAATCCTTTCAATAGAAATAGATTTATTTAATACCTTTCGAAACCACTGTACTCGTAAGCACTTATTGAATTAAAATATTATTGCATGCTATAATATGACTGGTCATGTATTTACTGTTTTTTGACACCACATAAATTACAAATAATAATATTCACTGTTAATTATTATAGTTTTAATAACCTGTTTGATATTGACATTTGTTAAAAACTTCATTCATTCATTCATTTAAAATTAATTTCAATTCAATCAATTTTTTTATTTTGATAATATTTATTAAAATTTGTATTAGATATTATTTTTGATTACTTTTCTTTATTTTCTGTAATAAATGTTTAACCAAACGTCATATTATTTTTTTAGATAACTGGTGCTGGTCATGGAATTGGCCGAGAATTAGCACTATTGTTCGCCATTCAAAATGCAATAATTGTATGCTGGGATTTAGACGAAAAAGGAAATAATGAAACTAAACAGATTCTTAAGATAAAAGGTTACAAACGTGTTTACACCTACAAGTGAGTATATTTTGCAATCATCCGGCTACGTAAGACTAACATCTATTATAATATATAATTATAAATATTAAATAGTATAATTTTGTTTATAAGCGTATTATTAAGCATTATTTAGTGCTTATAAATATTCTTGGAGTTCGGTGCTGGATCTACAAATGGAAATGATGACGCTTAAAGCATAACAGAATACCATAGAGCCTATTAATAGTTAACCAAAAAACAAAAATCATATTTTCATACCGATGTATGCATTTTAATGAATTATTGATATATAATATATCAGTATTATATTATGTCGAATCTGTAGTTTTTTTTTAAAAAAAAAGCCGTAATTTATTAATTTTAGTTATTTTAAAACTATTTTCGGAAGCTAGAACAATTACTTTTAGTTTTGAGAGATTTTAAATGAACACACAAATTTGAGTATTAGTAAATATATAACAGTTATAGACGATAATAAGTTAAACTTAGGGACTTGAAGCTCTTACAAAAGTAACACACATATATATGCATTAAAAACATACTAAGCAATAAAACAAATAATAATGTTGATTGAATTATTTAAATTTATATTTTAATACTTTATCATCATTCGTATAATTAGTTGTTCTCCTTTTGTATATTACTTGCATATTATTGCTTCCATATCAATGTCATCATCTGGATTTTAAGTTATAAAAAAAACATAGATAATGCACAAATATTCTAAAATAAGCAAAAACCATAAACATAAAAAAAATATTCGAAATAAAATGTTGGATTTAGACATTCTAAATAAGATGATATTTATTGATCAGTTGAAATTGCAAACTAACATGAAAATGCTATAAATCCATTATCAGTATAACACTATAAAAACAATAAGTAAAATTTAAATACACGTGCAATATAATATATATTTACTTGTGAATAAAATAAAAATCTAATAATGAAAATGCATTGAAGAATAATGAGTTTATTATTCAGTAATTCATTTAGCATTGTATTTTATGCCGCCTCAGATTGTTAAAAAAAATGTAGCGTTGGTGTAGGTAGGTATACTTAAAAGTTAATAACATTAACATTTTAAATTAATTATATGTTTATATGTAGTATAATGTTATATACTATTATATCATGAAAAAAATATGGAGTTATTGCAGGAAGTGCATAATTTATTTTAAAAATTTAATTCTCGGTTCAGTTGTCTTATAAATGTAAGTTGTATTTACTGCATAATGATTTATTAAAAATGTAATGAATTAATTTACTATAAATAATAATTATAAATACAGAAAAAAAAATCATTTGAACATAATTTATTTACCTACGAATAACTTTAATAATTGGATAATTATTTTGGCACTTAAATTTCACTCGTTAAAACACTGTAATAACTAACAACATATCATTAATCATATGTAGCACTGTATTTTAAAGTTTTAAAATTATTTTACATTTCGTCATTTATGACGTAATAGAAGTTTTAATGAATTTAATGATAGATAATTTTAAAATTCTTCAACTATTATGTTGCATAATTTTAATTAATTTGATATTGGATTTTGACGATTTGTTCAAGTGATATAAAAAATATTACAGTAGGTAGATTCCTCTTTGTTTACTGTGAGCCTTAAATATACAAAATAATAGTAATATTATTGTACGATAACTACATACATCAAGATGTAAGTGCTTATTAATTAAATAAAATTATAAAAAATTAATAATTCTTTTATTTATATTAAATCGCAAACTGCAAAGTATAGATACCTAATAATAAATGACGTTGACCCAGACAACATTTACAAATGTCAATGAAAAAAGTCTCTTGATGTATGTACTGAATCTCTATATTAAAATTGCTAAATACGTGATGTGAGTATGTGACTGAAACACCATCACTCAAAAACAGTTGTTTTTAAAATTATTTTTCAATTAACGTTTCAGATAGGAAAGGAATTTTGTGACGTAGAAATAGATACCTATTTTAATTCTTATTATTTGAATTAGAGAGAGTCTTCGTAAAGTATTTAAGTATAGGAACTCACTAGTGACTTAAAGTATCATGTGCCTTGTACGATCAAAAGTGAACTATGAAAAACTATTCTTTATTTTTAATCCAAACTTTTAATTCATTACTTTCATAACAATTCAACTTCAAATATTATAGCTCTATTTTCTACACGAATGAACAATGATCATATAAATAAATACTAATCACAAATTATATAAACATATTTTATTTGTGTCGAATTGAGTTTAGATAATTGGGAGTTTTTTTATAACCATTTTAAATAATTAAATACCTATGTGTTTTTTGTATCTGTCTTCACGTTTCAAGGCAGTCAAAATGCTTTGAAGTTTGTCGATGATTTATGGTTTCAAATTGGATCTGTAATTTAAGTTTAAACGGAAACTATTAAACAAGTTCTGCAGTATTCAACAAAATCGGTACAAGGTTTCTTACAAATCATTATTTTTAAATTATAAAAAATAGTCAAACGTAAATCATTTTCCATGATTTAAATAATTTTCACAACATTTTATGTATATGTATAAATTACGAATTTTCTACCTACTAAAAATCTTCACCAAATGTTGTATTTCCTACACTTGTCATAATTTTCTAAATATTCTCTTTTTGAGGTATTTATAGACATTTGAAATTTTCGATTTATTTTAGTTTTTTTATAAATGTTGTCGATGTAAAAAATTTTCACTGGGTTAAAAAAAAAACGATTTAAGTTATTTTGTTTTAGTTTGAAAATATTATTCGTGAATACTAATTTAAAACTTATAACGTTTATTATTATATTATATACATTGCACATTTTAAAATATGCCTAATATTTTCGTTCTATTTTATTAGGTACTAATCGTAAAATAAATTACTTAAATAACAATATAAATATTTGGTAAATATAACCAGTTATATAGGCCTAATAGGCCAGTATTGTATACCTATTTATTATTGAATTCAAATTTAACACAATATATGTATACTTACATTACTGTTATGTTACTCAATAGTCAATAGTTAGGTATATATTCTATACAGTCTATGTCTCTTTATCTATCGTATAGCAAATCGATTATCTTTTTATTTTTTTATAAATAAATGTATTTACAATCTGTAATATAATAAAACAATAAGTAAATTTGAGATTTTTTTACAAGGTTTGGAGGGAATCGATTATCTATAATCGATATTATCCTTTTTAAGTTTTTTAAATAAAATTTTACTTCAACTATACAGGAATATTTTTATATAAATATAGGGTACAAAATTGTCACGCGTTTTTGTCCCCACTGCCATGATCACTTAACATCGCATATATTATTGTACTTTGTAACTCCAGAAATCACCTTCCGGTGGACATCTGATACATAAACAAAACTATAAGGTGAAAGTAAAAGTATTTGCAACACAAACTTAACTATCTATTCTAACTGGTTCTATAAAATGGCAGAATACCTATGTATACTTAATAATTCTTATAAATTTCGTTATTATTTCAGACCGTCAATTACCTATACTTTAAAAGGAAATTTAATTAATACATTATATCTAATTTGTATGAATCTGCAGCCTACAGGAACACCAATTATATATGACACAAACAATTTATAAATTATATACTTGGAATTGTATAACAACTCACGTATAAACTATTGTATATTCTCATACGAATAATTTCTATCATCCATTACTCACATTACTTAAGTTAATGTTGCAAAGTATATATTTATTCCTATACGTAATTATTTTCGCATGTATTCGAGAATTTTGTTTAGAATGAAAATAACCAGGAAAGAATATAAATGTATGTTTTCTTTTGCTGTTTTTTAGATTATATTGATAAAGTGGTAAAATATTAACAGTAGCAATTTGTCATATTATTTTGTATAAAATTATTATACAAAGATATTTTTATAGTTTTAGAAGTTAGAAAACATTCACTCTTAAAGTTCTGCATTTTTTGGTTGTATTTATATTTACTTCCATTCTTTAGTTACCTAGGTAAAATTTTGCTATATTTTTATTGTATATTCTACCCACGTTATGAATTGTCTGCATATTAAATACTTAATAATTACATAAGAATTTAACGGTTTATCTTATATCCAACTATACATATATATATATATATATATATGTAATTCCAAATTTATTTTAATAATATGTAAATTACTATCAATGTACCTACCTATAGGACCTATCTTATATTTAATGATATATTATACTATAATGTTATATTATTTTGGTTTATTCATTGGCTCACTGCTTCTTAGTGGGATAATATATGAATATTTGATAATAATGATATAGTATATTATTATTTATTATATTAAGTATATCGCTATATATATGAAACTTAAAAATTTAATTTATTTTTGTTGCTTTTATACAATCATATAAGTATTGATCACTGGATTTACTGTTATTAATGTTTTTACAGAGTGGACGTGTCTAATAGACAGGAAGTTTTGGATGCTGCAGCCTTAGTTAAACAGGAAGTTGGTAGCGTATCGGTATTGGTAAATAATGCGGGAATTATGCCATGCAGACCGCTGTTTTCTCAAAGCCACGAGATAATTGAAAAAATATTCAACGTCAACGTTTTAGCTCATTTTTGGGTAAATTCAATGCTGAAATAAATTATAGATCTACTTAACTAATAACCAATATATTTATATCTTCAACGTATAAACTTAAAAATTTTATCAGGCTCTGGAAGCTTTTTTGCCAAGTATGGTTGAAAACAACCATGGCCATGTAATTGCGTTATCTTCAATGTGCGGTGTCATTGGACTCCCAAATGTTGTTCCATATTGCGCATCGAAATTCGCCGTAAGAGGTAATATTAAATATAGTTTATCAATTCCAAAATGATTCAATTTTAAAAATCCAGTTACTTATGAGTTATGAGTTTATGACTTATGATAGTGAAATATAAAAATGATAAATATAATGCACATATAATGAATACTCTCTCTTTTTTTCTCGAATAAAAATTTAAAATTGTTCGAGTTTCCAGTGGTATTCAAGGTAGTCAAGAACCAAGGTCGTAAAAAATGAGAGTAATTCAATGAGATGCTTTTACTATATAATAAAATATCATACATATCTGACATTTTATTTTGATATGTATAAMATTTCTATAATTTCTTATGATGAAGTCATTAAAATTAATATTTTATGAAAATATTTATTATGGGTATACAATTTCAAGTTACAAGTTCTATAAACCAATATAAAATTACATAAAAAATAAAATAAAAATTATAAAACATTGTATGTCCCTATCTATATACATTATTAATTATTAATATAATTCTATAACATAACTAATTTATACGCGGAACGCATATTTCTACGATATAACATGGTAACAGACTAACTCTAAATCAATAAATATTTGATAATTATAATACACAATATATTCGTTAAAATTGTGAACTTTTTAGTTCAACATTAAATTGGTGGATTGAATGTTTAGATTAGATAATTATAAGCTTTAAATTCATTTAATTATATGTGGATTCCAAGCTTCAAAATTATATTTCGAAAATAAACGAAGTAACCGTAAACTACGTCCGTACGCATATTTATTAATCTTAGAAGATGAGTTATAACTTATAAGTTATAGTATATGGTTTAAAAAACCATTTACATCAGAAATAAACTTATAAGCATCTTATTGCGTGATTTGTTGTGTGCTTATTTTATGATTTAATATTTACCTTACTTACATATGTGTGAAAAATATTACAATTCAAACGTTGATAAAATTTACATAAATAATTCGTGAATACATAACGGCAAACGCTGTTCCTTTGATTATATTTACGTGTTAAACTGTTAAATAATTTTTTAAATAAATAATGTATCACTTCATGAAACTAAATAATATAATAAATGTGACGTATGTAGGCAGATTGTATATTGCATATTTGCATACATAATATAACAATGTCGGTACGGGTACAATTTGGTGCTGGACGATATGTTTGTTCAACAGTTATAAAAGTATAAAACCATTTAAATTCTTGCTAAATCTTACCTTCAAACAGTAGGTTAAATAGGCAAATATATGATATTGCTGCAACATTTAGTTCTATGTTGTTTTATTAACGACACGTAACAATCAGTAGATAATAACTAGTTTTTATAATATGATGTATCGTTATTCTTAAATAGACATCATAGAATATTATATATTTACGTGTACTCCATAAAAATGGTTATAAAATAATTTAGATCTAGAAATTATTTTAAAGTACCTATCTACCTACTATCATAATGATAAATTACCTAGGTATATACATTATTCATTCTACATAATACAAAATGTATAATGCGCAACTGAGTAGGTAGTTTTAAAAGGACAGTAGTTACGGCTATATTGTACCAACATATTTTAAAATATTTTCTGTCAAATAAAATACTTATATATGGAGTTACTATTTTTAATATTGTCATTGACACATTAGACATGATAGCTTATCTGGTTTTGCAGGACTCATGGAAGCCTTATACGAAGAGTTAAGAGTTGGTGATACGAAAAACAATAAATCTGAAATCAAATTCACTACAGTTTACCCGATTATGGTTAACACAGGACTAGTTAAGAAACCTAGAAATCGATTCCCATTCTTGCTGGACATGCAATCACCTGAAAAAGTAGCCAATATTATTGTAAAATCAATGAGGCGTAACTATAAAGAAGTCAGTATACCGTGGATGCTGATGCCTCTCGACCGGATATCCAGGTACTTTATACATTATTATACAGAGTGGTTCTCGAATGCGTATTATTATTAAGTATATTAGGTAGATAATATACTATATAGGATGTTGGACTTGACATCGATCCCTACTACTTAAAATTGTTGAATGTTGATGGAAAGTATCCAGTGTCCACGTGAAATCCACACATTCTCCTAAAATACAATGCGTATATTAATTTTTATTATATAATATAATATCTTTATAAATATAAAATAAAGATGTTTTAGACTTACGCAAGATGTTTACATCTCACCATGCTTATCCTCATACATTACCATCCATTGATGATAATATAGGTAATAGGTAGTTAATCAGTATTTAGTTTAAACTTTAAAAACTGTAGAATTATCTATAATGTAATAAACAAATAAATATTTAATGGAAATTAATAAATCTACATTTTAATTTTAAATTCACCGAATGTTAAATTATGTATATTAAATTGGCAATTTTAGATTTTTAAATACCTTACACGGCAAATTGAAATTTCATTTATTTTTTTTTTTGTTGTTGTGTCAGTAAATACTTAAGATTACGATTTAATTATATCATAAAATTCGGAAATCTTTTATTCAAAATAATTATTTAAATATAACTCATTTACACATAGACTAACGCCCTGTAAGTAATCCTGACTATTGCTGTAATCTTAGTGCACATGCAACAACTTATGAAGTAACCTATTTTGTATAAGTGAAATTGGACAATATTTTATCGATGTGTCGCATTAGAAAATTATTTATAAATTCTATACATAATATAATATAATGTGTTGTGTATGATGATCTTAATACCTAACTGTAAGTTGTTTACTATTGTTATAACAGTATGTTCGATTTTATAGATTGTTACCAGGAAAATTCATTCAGAATGTTAAAGATTTCATCGACACCGGTTTGGACCCACACACAGATGATTAAATGTTATAGATACCAATCGTTTCCTTGTTGACGACATTGATTTTATTATACAGCTTTTGATAATATTTGTTAAAAAGACTTGACATTTATTTTTGTAATATTCGTTTTATGTAATGATGTCTGAATTTCCAACAGCTATTAAACTTGTATCTTAAGGTATTTATAGTTTTGTATATTTATACCATTATTATTATTATATATTTTATGCTTGTTATTATAATTATGTAATTTTGTAAATAATTTTTTGTACAATAAATATAAGATGTAACTTTTATACTATATGTCTATATACTGTTTGAGTAAAATATTTTTTTTTCAAATAATACACAAACAAAATGATCCAAAGAAAAGTATGTGTACAGAATTTATTAGGGTCACAGAAACTAGCTAATATATAGTTGTATATTATGCATTGTTTGAATATATATATATATATTATTAACTCTCGCAAACATATAGGCCAATAGGTGGTTACTTTTCATAGGTTTTTTTAACTATAAGGGAGAGTACAGTTGGTTTCTAACACGTGTATATGTGGCAAGGTTTTTGCCATTAAGAACCCGGGTGGTCACCCATTCGGAATTAGTGGCAGCGGGCGGTGCGTACACTCAATCACGTTATGTCATCAATGTTAAATTGTAAACAGCCAACCAGCATATGCGAGAGAATAGTTATTATATTTTTGAGAAGGATTCATGCTATATTTATATAGGATTCATACTAACAATGTGCATGGAAAATGTACACATAATAACATACTGAATATAGGTTAGAAGGTACAATCGATATGCAAATGTAATTTGAATAATTTGTCATATATCAATTGTAACAAAATTAAACACTGTACTTTTTTTCATGTTAACATGATGTACTTTTTATTTTACATAAAATTTATTTAAACATTATTTTATTTTTATTTTTTGCATCCAGCGTGGGGCTTGAACCCATGACTCAGATATTAAGAGTCTCCTGTTTATAGGAGCGTGAATTTTTGGATTAAGTTTAAAAATGATTCAAAAAATTCTGTGCGCTATAATATTTTAATATTATGTTCTATTAATTAGAAATACCAAACGTGGATGTTAGGTATTAGTTTAACATAATAATATTATGTTAACCTGCAGGGAGCCTATTAATTTATAGTTTTCGAATTCAATGATTCATCAACATAATATTGTGTTTGAAGAAGCTACACGTACTGATGCACTTAAAATTTAGCCCACTTGTCGCCTCTGCTTTTATGTAATGTGTGTGAATATTCATCAAAAACAACAGATATCTAAACCCTAAACGTCAAACGTCAGCCCCCGTTACTCGTACGTTTTACTTGTTAGAGAATAACAAAAGTATATATTTATGTCACAAAAAAATAAAAATTTGATGGAAAATCGTGTGAAATAATTTTATTAATGATTTGCACCTACTTTTATAAAATATTTTAGGTAGGTTGATTATAATATGTATTTCATAGTGTTAGCCTTACTACGTGACAGACGTGCTCTATCGCCTAACCTCTTGGTGTGTAAAACTCCGAGTCGCGTCGGTTGTTACAATATCTAATCGGTTTTGCAATGTGCAGATTAAAAATTAAAACCCAAAAATGTGCAATATTCCTGTTATTAATTTTAAATAATATAATTCGTATTACAGCATACAGGCATTCAGTTTGACTTTTCTATAAAGTTATTTAAAAAATTTAAGTGTATGTTGTTAAGWGTGTATGCTCTATATCACTTATCGGGTTAAACGGCGTTAGACTGCATTAAGGTTTTTATATAAGACATGACAAATGTGATTAAAATGTTCATAATTCCATTTTCTAGTTTATACAACAAAGTTTTAACGATGGTTTAAAATTAGAACACGGGATGTACCTTTGTATATGCGATTGCTGGACAGTCGACTTAGTTTAGTTGATCAATTTGTTTACATTTATCGCAATTCATATTATACATTTGAACTTATAACTCATGTTTTATACCAGCGTTTCCCAACCTTTTTACCTCACGGTACACTAGTCCAAACCGATATTATGCCGTAGCACACTTGACCTCAACTTATATATGTTTAATAAATATTTTTTTTATTTTTTTTTTAATATTAGGACATTAGGCTTTCATCATAATAAAACAAAAATTTGCACATCAGTAAATTACTATAGCAAATAAAATAATGTTTATTTTGGTTAGGAAAATTTGTGTGAAATCATATTTTAATTTATTAAAAATATAAAATTTATTGATATTGAAAAACAGTGGCATTGCATTGTGATCATCATGTTATGTTTATGTAAGGTTTTTAAAATCTAGCCTAGTTATTTGGCACTGGTTTCCATCGTATTCAAATAGTTGTCAAGCACATTGCAATCCTTACATTAGAGTAAGAAAATCGTTAAAATTATTTTGACTTAGTATCGAAATTATAAGTAACCGTATTAATAATCATGATATTTCGCGATACACCGGTTGGAAAATGCTGGTTTATACCAATCGTCTACGTCGCGAAGCATTCCGGCGTGCCGCTAGCTGTTGTGCCGATAATACGATAGCACGCAAATATCCTACTCAACGATAATATAAATTTTATAAATTTAATAATACATTTTTCGCATTATTATATTAAATAATTAATCAATTATTATGAATGTTATGCTAGTCACTCGTACAGTCAAACATCCGAGTGTCCAACATGCACTATAACAGTAACCGGTTTATTGTGTGCTTAGATTTCCGTGTTGTTCGCTATCGGTGGATCACTTGAACGTGATAAATATGACTGTATAATAATATGAATACCTACGCATTTCGCATGTCAAATATTATAAACGGTATGATACGTAGTAAAATGCATAACATGTTTTATACATTACAATTTGAATTATTAAAAAAAAAAAATCATAGTGTTCTACCATTATCACGAATACGGAGTAGACACCCATATAATATTATTATACATTATGTATGTATACATATTATACTTTTGAGAGTAGTCATATTTTAAGTACCTCCATCGTTCGCCTTCGATTTAGAAGTGCAAATCATCAGAGGTCGTCTAGCTATTTGCACTCCTACAGCAATATAACAGCTCCTATTTGATAATCCTGACCCGAGTCTGCTAGTAATGAGATGCTTTGTACATTTAAATAACGCTACACTGACGAATATAATACAGTCTAATAAATTCGTCTATCCGACGGACAACGAGAAATATATTACAAGGAAAACTACATATTTCATATCACGATAGTTTAAGCTGCAGGTTTAAAGTGAAATAAAATCATTGGTGTCAACATATATCAAATGACGAGAGCTCATATTATATAGGCACTAGGTAGGTAATTATAAAATAAATATTATTCGTCTGATTTGTATATATTGGTACGTTTCATTCGGGTCAGTTTTTTTTTCCATACCTCAGTTTCAAATGTGCAACGCCAGTAGTCTTGTTATTGGTTGAACGATAAGTGCTGCACCAATACTGTACAAAAACATTCCATGTTACGTGCATCGTTATTCACTCAATTAATTAATTTTTTTATTCGCTTATTTTTTTGATGATGCTACCTCTCAATCATAGAATCTACTACGACTTAGAAGCAGCCGCTTCTCGATTACGCTCTCCCAATCGCCACGACAACTGTATACATATAATACGAGTTTTACGCCTGTACGTATAACGCATATGTATCAGTGTTCGGAACGTTATAACATATCATATATTTTCTAAATATTTAAATTATATACATATATTCATTAAATACTAAATAAATTGAGCGCCTTAATAATCGTTCAAATTTATTAAAAATATAAACGTCGTTCACCAGTGGCCTGATTTAGGGGGGTACCAGGGTGACTAGTTACCCGGCCCCAATTTGGAGTGGCCCCAAACGTTTTGCTAGTTTTATATATTATTATAATATTAATAAATTTATTTGAGGCCTCTTTTTATTTAAATCCCCGGCCCCAAAATTTGTAAATCAGGCTCTGTCAGACGTTCACGTATTATTTGAAAAAAAAGAGACGTTCGTGTATCGTTCTTTAACCATGAACGTGAACATATGAACGTACTTTCATGAACGACGTTCTTTCCAAACACTGCAGTGGCGGTTTTGATAAAACATCAAGGGGGGGGGGGCTATTTTCAATTTTTGTGCCCCCCACCCTCCATAATAGTAGCATATAAAACATATATATGCATATATAACTTACAGAAAATAACAGTTGACACAAAAAAAATCCAAGGGGGGGCGCCCCCTTCGCCCCCCTAAAAACCGCCACTGAAACACTGACATGTATTACACATAAGTACCTATACACTTAACACTTAACACTTTATGTAATTATTAATTTATAACTCTTCTGTGAGTCAATAAAATTGTGATCGTGCAACTTCTGAACGACTTGGTCGATTGAGGTAAATATTATAGCAATAGATTCCTTGATACTCGTCGAATTTTTTTAAACTTTTTTCAACCCCTATAGGTTGCTATATGGTAGTTATGAATTTAATTTAATAATAGCGTTAATCGAATTTTTTCTTTATTTGTGTGTATAAGATAAAAGATAGATATTGGTTACAGTTCGTTAAATAATAGTAAGCATTTATGATTTAATATATTTTTCTATACCGTATCATATTTTATCATTTAGGCTGATAAATATACGTATCTATAATCCCACATAAATGTAAAATTGAATAACAACTGACAGCTATCAAATATATTAGGACATTGGACAAAGTAAATGGCTGAGGTTTGTAAACTAAAAAAATACTCGACTGAATTTGATAGAAAATCATTAATAATATCTCAACTATAACGAAAGGATACTAGAGGCAGATCGATTATAATAGATCGCTGGTAATACAGACATTATTAGTCGAGTTATAGGTATATTTAAATGACACGTAGGTATACTATGCAAAACCACAATTTTAGACAAATTATCACATTTCACACACATAATATTTTRGGATGATGGATCGTAAGAGTTTAGAATAGAAGCCACGTGTATTACAGCRACTATAATTATTATAGTATTGCTGAGGATTATAAAAATAAAATAAAAACAAAAACTGCTCAAACGACAATTTTGACGACTCAAATTTCAAGGAATGGGTTTAAGATAATAGATTTATTCAGTTAYTTGTATTTGTATTTGGATGGCATTCCCGCTATTGACAATATTAAAATCTTAACCA